ATGCAGCTAAACCAAGATTAAATGCACGTTCAGCTTTTTCTTTTAATGCCATTGATGAATTATCAATACAACCTTTAATAGAATAGAAGAAATAAAAATCTTTAAAAATTGTTATGTTATCTTGTTTTCTGCATTATTCGAGATAGGTGAAAAGATATTGATTGAAAATGAATTTATGAAGAATCAACTGAAATATTCATTCAGATTTGACATGATTGAGATGTTATGAAAAAAACGTTTTTTACCAAGATATTTAAGTGCATTTTGATAATATTCACTATGATTTCCCATCACTCGATAATAATTTGATGCTAAATCATAAAATCTTGAATGAACTGTTGTTAAATGATCAATTTCATCAAATTTTGGTGTTAAATCTTCAATAATTCTTTTTGTTTCATTTAAATTTTTTGTTACTAAATATGCTTTACCAATTGTTATATCACAAAGTAACACTGCTAAAGAATTTGCTTTAACTGTATCACGTATTTGTTGTATAAATTGTATAGCTTCATCCACGTGTTTAAATGTACGTGTTATAGGAATGATTATTTCAACTAATGCTAATTGATTAATACGATGTTCAAAATCTGATAGAAAATTTTCATAAAAAGTCTTTAATTGATCACCTTGTTGAAGTTCATCACGATGAACAAATGATGTTACACGTAATGTTAATTCATGCCATAAACGACTTTGATAAAGAGATTCAAGTTCAATCCATTCATTAGCTAATGAACCACCGATTGATTTACGTTCAGATAGATAATTTTCAACACGAGATGACATTGAGATAAATCTAAAAAAATAATATTAAGTTCTTTTTCATAGTTCAAATATAGAGTTGATATAGATTGAAACAAAATTATATACATTTTATGCTTCACCATTGCATCAATAAAATATACCTATAGCCTTTACAGTAAAAAAGAGGGCGTTCAATATCAATACTGTATCATGGATATTTGTACACAGATGTATATACGAGAAAAACAAATGAATGTAGATATTGATAATAAGATTGTTTTGTTCAAATATACTGATTCAAACAATAGTCGATATTAGAATAATGCTTTTCAGTATTATAAATAGGAAAAGTTAAGTCTTTTTTATTGTAAAGAATTAGAGCAACAAATATGAAGAGGATAACAATTGACGTTATCGTGATGTTCTCACTTGTTTATTTTAGAGCAACTAAGTATATAGTTATCGATAAGAAAACACGTTGAAATATGGCGAATGAAACAAAGAAAATATTTTACGTGTTACAGATTTTGGTAAAAGAATATCAAAAACAAGTATAAAGCTCGTACTTTCTCTTGTTTGAGAGAATAGACTTACGAATGATGATAACACAAAATCATAATCGTCGATTTTAACTTTTTCTACTGGTTTTCAAACTAGATTTTTATCGTATAATACCTGATTACATCGTTTGTTTCGTAGGAAGACAATCTAGATTCAAATTTATCATCACAAGATATATCTAGGATAGATGATATACGAAGAGAAAAAGATCACATGCAAATACATCAACAAATTTATCTACTGATTGCGAATAATGTTCTACAATGATACTGTATCAACTCAATAATTAATTACAATAGTGAAAGTTTTGTATTCAAGCGACATCTATATCTTTATTTTGATTCGATCATAACTGGTGGTATTGTGAAATGTCTTTTCTATCTTTCTTTTTTTTTAATTACACATGTAGAATCGATTTGAATAAGTCTCTTTTAATAAAATTTAATTTTATAAAATAGAAATTCTTTTAAAATAATTAACTATTATAAGTATATTATTTCTTTTCAGATAAAAAACTCACTATTATTTCTTCTTCGTCAGAAAATTTTCATTGTTAAACATGAGTGGTAAGTATCGATGAACAACTATCTTTGTTTTTATTTCATTGACTATTATTTTTTATAGGTAAAGCTAATCCACCTGAATTAAAAAAATTTATGGACAAACAATGTCAATTAAAATTAAATGGAAATCGAACAGTTGTTGGTGTATTACGAGGTTTCGATCCATTTATGAATTTAGTTATTGATGAAGCTTATGAAGCTGTTAAAACCGGTGAAAAACGTCCAATTGGTATGGTTGTTGCACGAGGAAATAGTGTTTTAATGATTGAAGCACTTGAACGACTTGGTTAAAGTTATTAAACTATCATTGTTTCATGTTATTTCGTTTAAATAGACAACAACTCATTTCTGTTTGTTTCTTTTTTGTATTTCAAAGTTCGTATATTAAAAAAGAAGAAATAACTTAAAGTATATATTTCATTGTAAAATCAATTTTCAGAAGAATATGTTGGACATTTAAATGATATTTTATATTTCTGAGTTTCATATACAGTATTATGATGTAGATCCCATCAAAACAGTTGCTTAGAATGCTGTCTTTATTTCTTTGCCATTTATTAATATTATACAGAACACTGTTTTCAAAAAAAAATAGAACAAAACTATTTATGTGTCACACAACAAAATCTAATAATTCTACTTAATGTGCTGTAATTATACATCTATCTTCGTTTTCATTATCTTCAACTTGTGTATATGGAGGATCATCAGAGGAAGGAGGTTGATATGATTGATAAATAGAAAGATATTGTTCTTTTGCTGTTTTCCATATTTTTCTTTCTTCACGAGTAAATGGTGCAAGACAATCTTTCATTAGAATCATTTCATTTAGATCATTAATTATATCTTCAAAACTTGGTCGTTTATTAATAGTACCATTCCAACAATGACACATTAAATCATACATACTAGCTGAACAACGATCTGGTTTTGATAAACGTCGACCTTGTTCAACTAAAAATTGTTTTAATAAACGAATTAGCTGTTGTGAATTACTATTCGATTTATAATTCGTTTCTTTTTCATATGGTTTAGTACCAAATGAATAAATTTCCCAAATAACAACACCAAACGACCAAACATCAGATAATGATGAAAGACTTTGTTGTCGATCAAAACATTCCGGTGCTGCCCAAGGTGGTGATACAGTACAATCATTTTTATCGAGTTTCACACCTTCAAATCGTGATAAACCAAAATCACTCAATTTAATATATTTTTCATTTTTAAGTAAAATATTTCTTGCTGCTAAATCACGATGAACAATTTTTTGCTGTGTTAAATATGCCATAACTTGTGCTAATTGATAAATCCAGTGATATGCATTGACTAATGGATCTAATGATTCAGGTTTTAATTGTGTTAAATGTGCATGTAAATTTCCCTGTGGTAAATATTCCATAAATATACGTAAATCATTTTTTGGATGATAATTACAAATAAATGTATGAACAATAAATGGATGACTTTTAAGTTGATCAAGTAAAAGTCTTGATTCATATTTATAATCAGTAGAATTACGCGTATTAAATTCATATGAAAATTCTTCATTAGTTTGATTACTTTGATATTGGGGAAAATGATTGAATTCATTTAATCGATATTGTTTGTATAAATCGATTTCATTTTTAGGAAGATAATCTTTGATAATGATGGAAAACGATGTTGTATCATCAAATCGAACTTTTGCTAACCATATTAATCGATGACGATTTTCATCGAGAAGTTTTATTGAATGAATATCAGATAAATTAATATGATCAATTGAATCAACATCAGTTTCGAATTCAGAATCGGTACTATCATATTCAGATCTATGAAGAATGAAAACATACAGATATAGTACAACAAAATTTATGGTAACTGTTAAAGATAGAATTATTGTCCGTTCTATTTTGAATGAAGATTTTCAATTGAAATTCAGGTAAAATTACACTTACGTATTACTTATTGGATCAGTGGGTAATAATAATTCTGTAGCTTCCATTGTTATCAATTCGCCATTTTCTTTTCGAACAAAATCTGTTAATACTGTTGGTAATAATCCTTTATATTTCGTATGACTATAGATAAGTTCTTCGTATGTCTTAAATACTATTATTTGTATATGATCATCTGTAACTGTATCAGTTATAAGTGAATAATTAAAAATCGTTTCCCATGATGATTTTGATAGACCAATAATACTAGATGTATATTTTTGTGTGATCGGATAAACAAATACTTGTTCATTATAATGAACACATAGACCATATTCTTCATTTGGTTGACTCCGAGTTTTTCTTGTTTTATAGAATAAGAATAGACCATTTTTTCTACGACAATCTTTCTTATCATATTGTTTAAGACGTAATCTTAACTTTCCTAATATGTTAGGACAAGCTAAATCACTTAACATTGATTTTGCTTCATTTCGAGATGATACTTCTATTGGCATTAAATTATTGAATTGATAATTATTACAAAATATTTTTACACATTCATATGTGGAATTTTTGTACATATGAGCAATATCAAATGGTGATTTGCCTTCTTTTGTTAAAGGCATTAACGGACAACCACGTTCTATTAAATCCGTTGCACATAGTTTGATATTTTTTGTTGGTGCATCTTTAGCCATTCTACAAGTCAAAAATAAATCAAAATTTGTTTTTAAAATCAACAATCGAATGAATTTAACTCACGCTAAATAATGAAATGCTGATAGATTAGATTGATCTGTATCATCGATTGTTTGACTATATAGATGTAAGAATAATGGAATGAATTCATATAGACAAATATAAATCATACCTTCGATTAAAATAATGTACATTAGCATTTCGTTGAATCAATTTTTTTAACATTTTATGATTTGCTTGTCGACATGCATGCTGTAATGGTGATAAACCTTGTCCATCAGTAATATTAATATCAGCTTTATTATTTAGTAAAATTTCAACAAAATCATATTTTTTAGCTAGAACAGCTAATATCAATGGTGTTAAACCTTGTTTATTTCTTCCATTTATTTTATTTCTTATAAATAATGCTTCTTTTTGAAGTGAATGATTATCAGTTTCTGACATATGAATTAATTCATTGAAATAATGTGTTAAACCTTGAGCAGCTAACTCATGAAGAATAGTATTTTGACGATCTAAAACACGAATTTCATCAGGTAATGGAATACATTCTCCATTTAGTACATGAATTGATTGATAAAGACAAATTCTAAATGGATATTGTAATTCATAAAAAGTGTTTCGTTGTTTCTGTTGAATGAGTAAATCAACGCCTGTATACTCTCGTCTCACTTCTGATCCAATTCCATATCCTATATTATAAAACAAAACAAAAAAGAATTTAATTACAGATTAGTATAACAGAATTTTTAGTACTTTAATATTTTGAGATATGCAAATAGTAATGACTGGTTTTGACAGATAGTCTAATTATGAAAAGTACTTACCAGATAGAAACGAATATACTCGACGTTCTTTATTATAACAGATGGGTATTCGAGCAATTTCCTTGTGAGAAACAAAATGAAGAATATATCCAATATCTGAATTTGCCTCATTTGATTCAGCTGGTCGTATAAAATATGTTCCTGTACATATATACATAGAAGATACAAATACATTTTAAAGTTTAAAAAATAATTGAATATACCGTCAGTAGCTTGTTTAAGTTGTTCATCCATATGCATAATAATAGATTGATCTTCAATATAATAACGATATCTTGCTTCACTATTTAATAATGATTTATATTGTTCTTCGATATGTTGACGTAATTTTTCAGAGTCTACATTATTAAGTATTGTTGATTGTGTTTTTGTTGTGCTATTCGATGCGAATGAACTATGACTGTCACAAGATGGAGCTGGAATAAGTCTTGTAGCTTTTGGATATGGATGTGATTTATATAATATGTGAGGATTCGTTGGTACAGATGCTGACATTCTCGGACGTTTTTCAGTATTAGAACGTTTCGTACGACGAACCTTTGTAATTGTTGGAGTCGATGAATATGTTGAATCAGAAGCTAAATCACTATTCATTTTCTGTCTTTTCGTTGTTTTAATTAATAAACTTGTAATATGTTTTTAAAGCAAAATAAATATTGAAAGATATGCTTGGATGATTATATCATTGATGGCTGATGGATAACGAAAGGAAGTATCAGTGAATATCATTACGTTTTATTTTTACCTTTTCGTCTAATATATTGACGGCTATCACAGGTATGCAAAATCATGATATTCATATATAGTAAAGAAAGTCAGGAATATAAAGTGTAATATTAACTATGAACCGTATAATTTGTTTTTTCGTATTCATTTATAAATAAGTTAGTTTCATGATTATTGTATAAGGATATTTAAAAAAAGCTTAGTAGATATAAAATGATATCACTTATGTTTTAATTTCCTACTTTCTTCTGAAATATTCAACACTAAAATAGAATATACATCTATACATAATACATCAAAGACCACTCCAACTAGATGAATATTGAACATATAATTTATGAAACTTAGAAAAATCACTTCCAGATATGATTATTGCAGTACATATTTATCTCAAATCATCAATATGTTAAAAATGATCGTCAATTCGATTTAGAAGATTCAATTATGGAGCTAGAGGACAATAAGTGAATTTTTAATTCAACAAAGTTAAGTTAAAATTTAATCTATTATAAATTCATTTATATTTAATTTCACTTTTGATACAGAACATTTATCTATTTTCAGCTTTATTTTAAGTAAATTATTCTTCTCAAAATTCTTCTTTCATTAAAATTTCATTCCTCCTCTATATCACAATATTTCCTTAGAAATTTATTAATATCGAAATTCAAGAAAATGCATCTTTTCGTACTATCGATAATTAATAGATTCCAAAACTTTAATTCTGTTTAGTACAATCAAAGGCTAGAGCTAGTATACATGAGAGAAGAAAATACTTTTGTTGCTCTCTTCGTATAGTATGTCATTCATATGAAAAAATTAACTGCATGATTTTATATACTGAATACTTTATTACACTACTTCATTTTTAAATAGTTTGATTGACATTGATGATTAATTTGTTAAAAATAGCCAATAGTATATCATTTAACTATAGCTTTAGAACTAAGAAACAACTTCCATTTATTGATTGAAATATTGTTTAATATACTAATGTTGAATTTAATTATTATTTTTGTAATCAAAAGCATTTGAAATAGTTATAGAGATATGTAAAAGAATATGAATGTATGATCACATAATCACAAAATAATAAATAAAAGTACAGATGATGAAATAAACAACTCTAAACTATGAATTTATACTAAAAATTTACGAATATGATACATGATTTTTATGTTGATTAACTGATAATGCAAAAGTAATGTTACAAAATATCTACCAAGATATATTCTCAAAGGGTTTTTTCACTTATTTTATAACTATTCATCATTTATTTTGACCATTAAATTATAGTGAAAAGACATGTAAAATAAAAGAAAAGTACATCTAATTAAATTTCACTATATTTTTGTATAAAAATTTCAACTATTGATAGTTGCTTCTTTTAGAAAACAACTATTCAACAATAGTTCGATTGTCATATAACACTTCTTTCAAATAAATAAATTAGCACAAAAAAAATTAAAATGCTCTTTGTGATCTATTTTAATAGTTCACTATAAAAAAAACTTGAATATTCCATTCATAAATAATCATCAATGTTACGATCAAGTCTTTGTATACATATCCTTTTCTATTTATTTCGATTACACTTTTTCTTTCTCACATTTATGCACACGTGTCAATATGTATCTAATTGATTTGTTCCTTTACCTCTCTACCTGTATTTACACACATTTCTTTTCATATAAATTGTAAACAAGATGATGATCAGTATTCAAAAAATGGTCTTAGTTCAATTTTAATATTTATTTTTTTTAGATAAATAGTTATTAAAAATATGATTAAAATGCATTAAAAGTTAAAAAAAACGAAAAGAATAAATGTAGAAGACTACTCTCTAATGACAATAATATGGTTTGAAAATGAATATAGTACTACACTAAGAAGAAAAAAATGAGTAAATGTTTTGTTTTCTATCAAAGTCTTTTGTTCATCTAAAATCAATTATTGGTATCATTTTATTTTGATGATGCTTTGCATGTTCCTGTAATTGTGTCGGATGAAGCGCTAAGCTTAGGTGTTTTATCTTTTGTCCAGCATTTGGCACTCTTGACATTGAATGTCCATGCAGTACAATCGGGATAAGAGTCACATATTGCAGCACATGCTGCTGCAGAGCGTACTTGTGCTGGTTGACTGGCATCCATATCACCTCCATAATTATCTTTGCCGACGACAATCTCTAAGCATCTTGAGCTTGTTGCTACATCTATATAAAATATAGAAGGAGAATTGTATTATTAACTATGAAATCAATAATTATTTCATTCAAAACATTAATTATAACTTTGTTAGAATTGTCAGCATTTATGTATGAATTTATAGATAAAGAAAGGATTAAGGAAATATCATTTGAAATTGACATACCGTGGTAAGGGGCTCCTCGTTTCATGTCTGAGAGAGCTCTGATGAATTGTTCTGCGAAATCGTCATCATCATTGTTGTACAGACTTCTTGCATTAGTTTGGCTTATGACAACAATACCAACAAGGATGAAAGCAATGATTGAGGATTGCATATTGTGTAGAAACTAGACAAAAAAATATATAGATAAACACTTGTATGATTATAGAGAATATTTTACCTTAATGTAGATGAGAGTTGTAAAAAATAAATGAAGGTGAATGGTAAATACATGATTTTCGATGGGAACTTATATACAGAAGATTTTGTTGTTGATTTGTTGTTTATCTTAATACGATATAAAGAGTTAGGGGGAAAAATATATTTTTTTCATACAATCATCACCATAAAATCATCCTTGCGTTAAACGACGTAGAGAGGATGGCCTATTTTTTTACCTCGATGAAAGAAAAATATATTTATCCTTACTGATCTAGTTAATAATAAGATTCATATTTTTGATGCTCGTTATTATCTGTCAGTGTGAAACTAGTGCGCAATAACAGATAACAGTATTAATGCAGTGTTAAAGCAAAACAAGACTCAGGCCATTGTAAAATACAGAATATGGTGTGTTTATCGGACCTTGACAAAAAATAAACAATCACCGATTTGATAATGGATGGTGTCCATTACTGCTTAATCATCCAAAACTGTCTCTTTCATCTTGACTACTTTTATCAAAAAGAAAAAAACAAAGTAGATAAAAACAAATTTATCCATAGGTGTAATATATACAGTTGAGTCATTGACTTTGTAATCGTATGAAGAAAAAAGTATCAGTTGATTATATGTACAGTAGTAAACTATAATAAAAGAATTTAATCTTTTGATTATTAGTTTTAGTTTTTATCAACAATTAGATAATTATCATGCAAAAATTTCGAAGATGAAGATTCGAATATTGTCTATATCATTTATTCTGCAGCACTTTGCATTGATGATCACTTACATTCAAAGCAGACCTCTTTTGTTTCTAGTGAGAAGATTTGGGTATTTTTATTTGAAAAACTAACTGTGTTTTGTCACAAAATGTTACTTATGCCAAAATTAGTGATGATCGATGTTTTTTAAGAAGTGAGAAAAAAATTTATTTTGACATGTATTTGGTGTTGATATAACATGTTTTGTTTATTTTCGAAATCACATTTATATATATGTTAAAAGTTTCAATATGAAGGTAACTAACTGTATATGGTTAGTTCATGAATATTGGAAAAAAAAGAATTGGATATAAAATTAAAACTAAATTTGTATATAAATTAACTTTTACTGACAAAATGTTTATCTGTAAATATTTATATATTTTTTCTTTTCTATATTTGTAGAAGAATCGTTCATACAAATCAACATTCTTTTTGCGTCTACTATTGTTTGAAAGATATTGATCAACAAATATTCGTTAAATTATTAATATTAGACAAATTTTATACTTCTATCAGTGGAAACAAGATAACATCATATCACTTTGAATATTAAGAATTCAAAATACATAATCTAATAAATCTAATAAAAATATTTTTATGATTCACTTTTCGTTCGAACAATAATATAATCTACAATAAGAGCAAACTTAAAAATCGAATATCTTGTATAAAAAAAGAAGTGAAGATGAAATTAAGATATGTTTATTATTGTAAAGACAACACATTATATTACATGTTCTACATTCAAATATGCTTAGTAATTCAACCTGAACTTGAGACGAAATATTTTATATCAAAATTTCATAACAGTTAGAAATCACAAGTTCTTGTTAATGTTTCAGTAAAAATTAAGGAAGCAGTAGTCTATTCAGTCATCATCGCTGTTAAATCGAGAAAAATAACATTAAATTTTTCAATATAAGTTTGTATGTAAGAAAAAAATAGTGTAATATAGAAAAGAATCATAATAATGTTTCTCAATCATGCAAAGAAAAGAAAAATATCTACAATAAAGATCATTTCGAATGTGGAAATGAGATGGTTGTTTGACTACTATTAATTAAGAATAAATATAATTATTAGCTTTATAAATCTTACCTGATCGTATAACAAAAAAGTATGAATATTTATTTAGTGTATTTTAATTGCACCTAGTTTTGTATTTGTTCCTAATTTTTATTGAGTCGTGCATTCATGGATACAATTTGGTTAGATTTTGATATGACATTTGATTTAGTTGAATGTAATTTCAAATTAATACAACGTATCCAACATAGAATAAATGTTCTAGGTTCGATGAATTTAGCTATATGAACTTTAAAAGTCTTCCCAAATCAATTACTATCACCTACATACATATAAGCAATTTTAAAAAATAGATCAAATTCTTTTTTCGAAATCAGCAATGTATTGAATTCGTAAGTATCATCGATTGTTTGACTATACAAATATAAGAATGATAAAATGAATTCATATAGAAGAAGATAAATCATACCTTCGATTAAAATAATGTACATCAGCATTTCATTGGATCAATTTTTTGACAGTTTATGATTTGCTTGTCGACATGCATGGTACTAAATTACAGATTAGTATAATCTAAAACAACTGCGTTTATATTTTCTTTAGTGAATTTTTCCAGTTTTTATGATAATTGAGAAATGTTATTGATGAATTATTATCTGTATTATAATATATCAAATTTTTTTGTACTTCTATGGTTTTTGACGACCATCTGTTAAATCGAAAATTTCTAGATTCAAATTTGATTGTTAGAACTTTCTTGATCTTAATTATGAATCTCATACGTATTCTGAGTAGTTTATTAGCAAATATGAGATTCTCTTTATTTTCGTTTAGAATTATAATCGATATATCTCTCAAACAATCTTAATTATGATCTTTTAGTATTCAAGCGATATTTAATTGTGGCTTTAAACAAACATCAAATATTGAATTCAAAATTTTGAGAACAAAAATCGATTAAAAAGAAAACTTATTATTGATATTCATTCAAGATGACCTGTGCTCAAAGTTCTAAACTGTGCATATAGTTTGTTATGAAACTAAAAACTATTATGATAAAAATCTTAGAATATAATATGCAAATCGATATGAAATTAAGAAAAGAAAGATTCATTATATTAATATACTGTGATTTTGTAGAAAATAACCCGTGAGAATATGTCATAGGCAAAACTATGTAATAAATATTATTCTCCCTTTTTTTAAAAACATGTGAACGATATTTTAATTTTTTGAAATATTAAAAAATATATAAGAATACATAAATCGATGATATACCTCATTTTATTGTCGTAGATCTTATTCTTCTTCCATATGTTGACATAATAATTCAATTTGTATCAGTATTTAATAGTATTGATTTTGTTTTTGATGAAGTAAAATATTTATTAGATAAAAACATGTGATTTCATGCATTTCTTCGGTATTAATTACTGATAAATCATTTAGATATTTTTGTAAAATTTCTTACGATTTTCTAGAAAAAAGTATGATGATATTATAATATACACATTAACAATGAATATCTACCAAGAATAACTCAATAGAAGTACAAAGATTATAGTATATATGATCAATAGATATGTACAAAGAATATATAGATAGTGTTGTGACTACTATTGTTATTTGTAAGATATCAAAATTAGATAAGAACCGATATAAAAGTTACAGGTGAGTGCGTCAATCGATCAGTTAACAAATGATGTGAAGAAAATACTTATTTTTGATGTAACAAAAAGTATGACATATATAAATGATTGCGAGATATTTTTTTGACGAAAACATTTGATTAAGACTAAGAATACGTAATTGAAATTTTTTTCTTATAATATTCTTACGCCATCTTTTCTTTTATTATATTATCTTTTATTTATTGACTGGTTGGTTTCCCTGGAACATTAAACGATGGATGTCTGTCAGCTGGATGAAAGAAAAAATAAATATACGCAACTTATTGAAGAAAAATAAAAATAAAATGTAAAGAATATTTTCTTGTTCTAGAAAAAAAGCTTTTTTTTGTTTGTTTTCTTTTTTTAATTGTCGTATTTTTCAAGTTCAATTTCGTACATTTTTTTTCCAATTCAGTAAACGTAATGCTTGGCTGGGGTATTAATGCCCATGGTCAACTTGGATTAGGCCCATCAGCTCCAACAAGTTTCATTCCAACACCTCAACGTATACCATTTTTTAATGATCGTACATGTGTACAAGTTTCATGTTCATTAACACATTCAGTGTTTTTACTAGCCGATGGAAGTGTTTATACAACAGGAAATAATGAATATTTACAATTAGGTAGAGACGGACGAGCAACTGTACCTGGTAAGATATGAAATAAGAATATTTTCGATTTTATTTTATTAATATTTATTTAGAAAAAGTCATACTACCTCAAAATGATGATGTTGTACAAGTAGCATGTGGACAACATTTTTCAGTTTGTTTAACAGGAAATGGTAAAATAGTTGTTTGGGGTTCAATAAGTGGAAAAGTAACGAATGATGATGGACTTGTCTATCAAAAACCTGAGTATATATTTTAAATTTCTAATATAATATATTTGATATATTAATAATTCTGTTTTTAAAATAGATATTTGGGAGGATTTAGTGAAAAACGAATGATACAAATTGCTGCTGGATATACTCATATTCTTGGATTAACTGATGTAAATTCAAACAATAAATTGATATATTTTCTTCTATCTTGATTATCATTATACATATATTTAGGATGGAACTGTTTATGCAACAGGAGTTAATGCACATGGACAACTTGGTTTAGGACACAATAATGATTGTGTTCGTGCTAGTCCAATAGTATGTCTTCGAGGTAGTCCGATTATTTATATAGCATGCGGTGCATATCATTCATTGATTATATCAAAAAGTGGGTAAGTCAAATTTAAATAAACTATCTTTCGTTTCTTCGTCGTCTTTTTGTTGAACATAAATATATTTATTTTTCTTTATTAGAACGGTTTTTACTTGTGGTCTTAATGAGTACGTATTTATGAAGAAATATATTTATTATAATGAAAAAAATAATATTCTAGATCTGGTCAATTAGGTCTTGGTGATACTGATGCTCGTGTATGGCCAAGTAATGTTAAATCATTACAGCAACAAAAAGTGACATATGCAGCATGTGGAGAAAAACATTCAGTTGTTGTTACACTTGAAGGAGGAGTTTTTTCCTTTGGATGTAGTGGACATGGACAACTTGGACATAATTCAACGAATGACGAACTTTTACCAAAAAAAATATCAGAATTAATGGGTTCAGAAGTTTCTCAGATAGCTTGCGGCAGGTATGTCAATATAAAACAATTAATTAAATTGGATTTAGTTTTAATGAGAATCGATGATTACTATTGAATATTCTATTTTGTCGAAGCAATCAATCTTATATATATGATACTAGTTAAAATAAATTAATAAAGAGAATATTGAATCCTAATTATTGAATAGAATTATACTTAATTTTACATTTTTAATTTAGATCTCACACAGTTGTCTTCATGCCAAACGATGGTCAAATATCCACATTTGGACTAGCATGTGCCGGTAATAAAGATACAAAAGTAACATCCTGTAGTAATATACCACAAAAATTAGACATGCCATTTTTATCATATAAAACAATGAAACATGTAATTATTAGAAAATCGATATATAAAATTTGTTCAAAAACAAAAAAAATTTCTTTTCTATTTAGCAACAGAAACCATCAACAACTGATAAAACTTCTATACTATCATCTCGTAGACCAAAACCTATAGAAACAAAAGTTACACGAACAAATTATCAAGTTCTAGGAATACATGCTGGTGGTAATCAAATATTTGTTCGCATATCTTCTCGAGTTTGTTATATTTTTTTATTCGTAAAAAATAAAAATCAATTATTACTTTCAGGCACAAAGACCAGATGATTATCGAACATATTATACAAATCGACCATTACTTGAATTAACTCTTGATTTTGCTAAATGGCTTGATCATGCTACTGAAAGTTCAGATTCATTTAAAGATGCTGAAAGGTTTTCTTTCTTCTAATCGAAAAAAAATATAGTATAAAATAATTAAATTTCTTCTAGAAAATTATCTCGACTATTTAATACTGAAGCATGTTTAAATGGATCATTTTTATTATTACCAGATGCACATTTTCGTACATCATCAAATAATCCCGGTATTGATCTTGATCAAGTTATTACTGTTATGGAAAAATTACGTTCATGTGATCCAAAAATACAAGAACTAGTTTGTTTTATTCAATTGATATTTTCGGTTTTTTTAAAAAGTATCTCGACTTTTTGTTTTAGTTATTTGAACATATTCAGTCAATACTTTTAACATTACCTGAGACAGCTCCATGTTTTGAAGCACTACGCATTTATCTTATTTTACCATTTTGTCATATATTTGAAAATGAAGAATCATTTGAAACTGTATCCGCACCATTTGCTCAAGCTGCTACACGTTTAAAAAAGACAGCTGATGGAAGAGTATTAGATTATTGGATATTACATTTAGGAAGAAAATTTGTGGAAAGAATAATTGAAGTAAATATATGATTTGATACACATATATTATTAAATATTTTCTTATTAGTTATATAAACCACTTGTCATCAAGATTATTCAAATAAATAGTATGGGTCTAGCTTTAGCAGCAGAACAATATCAAACTGTTTTAGAAGCTGTTTTGGAATTATTAAAAAAAGTGCATCATGTAAGATTGAAAAGGAGAAAAACATACATCTTATTGATGAAGAAGTATTACCAAGTTCCAATTTCTAAAAGAAAATTCTTTCGTTGGAATATGTGGAGACAAACTTTTCTTATAATCCTCTTTAAATTTTGTAATCGAGAAAAGAGTTTTCTATTAGTTATATTTCAATCAATTTTTTCATCTACATATATATATTCTCAAGAGGTTATGCAAAAAACAGGAAAGTCGCAAAATTATTTTGTCATGATAGAAAATTTTTCTTCTTTATTAATCAATATTCAGTTCATTGATTTTTAATGAATTAATTTGAAAATTTCTTTTTTTTATAAATATAGGTATCATGCAATATGGCTAAACCAGAATTAGTAGGACATGATTTATTCTATATGAAAGAATTGAATGATATGATTGACATAAAACGTGATTATGATTTTTGGCAAGCACGTCAATATCTTGTTGTTGTATGTATATGATAAATAATTATTTAAAAACTATTCATTTTTTTCATTTTAAAATAGGATAGAAAAATAGTTTCATTTTGTGATTATTCATTTTTATTTGATCTTAAAGCAAAAATTTGTAAGTAATTTAAAATAAATAAATTTCTTTTAAAATCTGATCTTTAGTATTACTTCAATATCATGGACAACTTGAAATGCAAGAAGCAATTCGTAATGCATTTATGCATAATTTTCAAACAATGATGGGAGCTCATGTTGACACAGTTAATCCATTACTTATGTTGCGTATTAATCGTGATACAATTGTTCATGACACAATTAATCAAGTAAAGTTTTGCGAAAAAAAAACAAAACAGTAAAGATTTTTATTTTTATTTTTAGTTAGATAAATATAAAGATGAAGATTTTAAGAAACCATTACGTGTCTATTTTCAAAATGAAGAAGGTCTTGATGCTGGTGGTATACGTAAAGAATTTTTTCTTTTATTAACTAAAGAAATATTAAATCCTAAATATGGAATGTTTAGTAAGGAAAAAGAAATATTTCGAATCGAAAATTAAATTATTTTATTCATTAATTCTAGCTGTATATGAAGAAACAAATACAATATGGTTTAGTGATTTCTATGTTGAAGAAGAAGAAGCAATGTATAAGTTAATTGGAGTAAGAATAAGATTATTTATATAGAAAATTTTTAAAATTCTGAAAGTAGTATTTCAAGGCATTTTCTGTTTATAATTATTAAAATTGGATTTTACCGTTATTTTTGAAGCATATAAAATGCTAAAGAGAAAATTTATGATGTTTTTACTCGTAGATTTATTTCGTGTTGTAATAATATAAAAGAGAATCATGTTTAGGTCACAATGCTTCTTTTTATTTTCTTATCAAAAACACTAGTAAAGCTTATACAAGATTTGTGAATTAGAAAAAACGTTTTATTTAAATAGTAACAACAGTGTTTTTTTGTCGAGACAAATCAAATATTATTTTAATAGAATTCTAGAAATTCAATGAAATATAAATCGTTTAAGTCAACGCAAAGAGTAACATGTTGAATAAATACTGGAATATTACTATTTTAGACAACTTAATAGAATTCATTTAATTATACAATTCTAGAAATTAATCTATATGAGTAACCTTCGAAAATAATGAACTACAGTCGCGAAGAAGATGATATTGAATCTTATGTAAGATAGAACTAAAGTCAAGTATGAATAGATTGTTTTAAAAATACTCTCAATACGATAGTTAGAACTCATAAAATAGACTTGTTTCTCAAGGTAGCATATAATCTAACATAAATAGTTCTATGACGGATCAAAAATGAAAAAATACAGATAGATGATTATACTTTTTTATTTAAGTTCTAATCATTAGATTTTGTTATTTTCCTTTTAGACATTGTGTGCATTAGCTGTATATAATATAACAATAATTG